TGGTCCAGCTGTAGTTTCTATGGTCCAGCTGTAGTTTCTGTGGTCCATTTGTAGTTTTTATGGTCCAGCTGTAGATTTTTTTGGGAGGACGACATGTTAATGATAGAAATAATTACAAACACATGAGCATGTTTTAGCACCTGTAAGCGGGCGGCTCTAACTGGGTCGGTTCGTGCAGAACATTTTGCAGGTTGGTGGATTTTCTCCCACATCCAGCTGTGAGATCGTATCGATCCTGAACATCCCCCGATCGTCTCATCATCTTTTGATCTTCAGGAAAAAGCAGAGGAATTGTAGGAACATCAATAACGGATAAACAACAAGGTGGAACAACAACAAATCATGTTTATGGTAAATCAGAGACAACCAGAGGGATCGAAGAGGAGGGAGACGTTCTCAGACGATAAAGTTTAGTCTGTTAAAGTTCATGTAGATAAAGATGGAGGAGAAATTAAAGAGAAGTTATTCGACTCTCAGCTGCTCACCTTTCTTCATCCCGCCTTTCTCTAAAAAAAAAGTTTTATTTTACAAACTGCGCTAAAATAAAGAGTCTCTCCTCCGAGAGGAATAAAATTAAATATTTTATTTAAATCCAGCTGATGAACTGGATCCAGCCTCTGGTCTCACCCTGTAGAACCTCCTCCAGTGGTTTCCAGTTTGTCCCTCGTGGTTCTGGAGGAGTTCTGGCCCACTCTTCTTTCCATCGTTGTTTTCTGCTCAGCTCTCTGAAGGTCCACCACAGAGTTTCAGTCAGAGTGAGGTTCTGGACTCTGACTGGACCGTTAAATCATCGTGGTTCTGTTCTTTTTGACCCGTTCTGCTCTAGATCAGCTGCTGGGTTTGAACCATGGTCCTGTTGGACCCAGTTTTCTGAACAGATGGACTCTCATTTGGTCTACAGAGGAGTTACTGGTCCACTCAGTGACTGACAGGAGCCCAAACCATCAACCTCCACTACCGTGCTGACAGCTGGGAGGAGCTGTTTGCTGCAGTGCATTCTGGGTAAACATCTGTCCCCTGGTCTGGTTCTGGTCCAGAAGTCTTGTGGTTCCTTCAGATTAACCCAAGTCAGGCTGCCATGTTGTTTTTAGAAAGAAGAGGTCGTGACCTTTGACCTGCTAACAGGCCTGTAGAGTCTTGGATGGAGCTCACTGCACGGTCTGACCTTCAGGGTGTCCAGCAGGGTTGGGGGATGTGAGCAGGGAACCCTCGCTGGTTCTACAACTGTAGAACTCGACGACAAAACTAAACCAGAACTATCAAGTTGGAATTATTTTGGTTCCAAACCAAGAAGCAGAAATCAGAAATAAAAAGCTTCAGGCTGAAACGTCGGCTTCATGAAACCCACGCTCCGTTTGTTTCACTGTGACTGAATCATTTCAGTTCAGGTGGAGTCCTCCTTTCTCCAGACAGGAAGCTGAAGTCGTAGCGCTCAGCGAGGGAATGCTTATCGCCCGCCGACGTTCACACCACAGGATTAAACGAAGATCGAAACGTTTTGATAGAGCCTTGAAAACGACGTCACGCTCCGTCTCGTGTTATTGCAGAATGTCACGTCCTGAACTACGCTCAGCCCATAGGAGCTACAGCTAAACCATAGGAGCTACAGCTAAACCATAGGAGCTACAGCTAAACCATAGAGACTACAGCTAAACCATAGGAGCTACAGCTAAACCATAGGAGCTACAGCTAAACCATAGGAGCTACAGCTAAA